TTGGGACCACTGACGCATGCCCACTGCTGCTGGGAGGAAGCATCACAACCATGAAGCATAGACAAGATTCCTGACAGATTGTGAGGCCCCCAACTAGTTACTGGGGGAGCAAGTCACTTCTCATCATGACCCTCACTTTCTGCATAAAACAAAGCCAGAATCTACTGACAGAATCAACAGATCTAAGAGTACTCCTAGCTTTCACATTTTACACTCTTAGGTAATGAAAGAGAAATGATTACCTAACATAACAGAACATCTCAAGAGCTTTCAGGTTTAGCTTTAAAGAACCTCTATTGGCAACTACACTGTTAAACACTGTACTGACAAAACTATTCACTATTTGAAAAAGGCACTGGTAGGACTTCCTCTCTGGCTTTGGTCCAGCCTCTCAAAGAACATGCCCACTTATGTCGTCCACACATGAATAGAGCAGAAGAAAAGCGTGAGCAGGAAACTTCACAGGGAGGGACACTGCTTCTGTATTTCTTAGATCTTCAGGAGCAAACAAGACTGCTATTAACAATTTGTGGTCAGAGATTAAACATTACACACCACTCTATTCTCATCTTCAGTCTTTTCCCCAACAAAGCATATAACTTCCAGTAATTAGTACAAAGGGATAAAAATGTTGACAGAACCCCAAATTCTGCTTAGCTCTCACTTGCTGTTATTGAGTACTGTTCAGTCAATTATGAATCACATCTACATCACCATATCCATCAGGATATAAAGGTCATATACTCAGCTGCGAACAAAGGCTGAAAAGACCTGGAGCCCTGCTTTCTTAAAGACTGCAGCCTAGGCAACCCTGCAGAGAAGTCCCAGTCTGTTCTATAGGGTCACAAGGAGTAGGAACTGACATTATGACAAACTACTATCTAAGTGAACTAGCAGGCCTTTCTCCCAGGCAAGCAGTGGGAGGGAGCTTCGAGGTGGGCTCCAGAAGCGAACCACTTAACCACTGTATGTCCAGGGCTTTACTGAATTCCCTACAGAGCACCTAGAAAAGGCTTCTCTGCAAAACCTGTGTCCTGTCAGAGAGAGGGAGGGACCAGTGTCAGCTCTTGCACACGCTGTGCTGCCTCAGCCGGCTTGCTTTTGCCAATCCTTAATTCTCAGGGAAATGATTACCCCTGAAGCCATTAGAGCTTCTAACTAGGATAAATAGTTTAAAGAGTTCCTGCCTATGAAAAATAGCCCGCCATTGTCAGATACTCTCTCTCCACAGATCTTAATAAGCTGTCTTAAATGAAGGGGAAGGAAAACGCAAAGCACTAACACACAGTAATTATCTGTAATTCTGCATTTGTTAGTCACTGAATAGAGAAAACAATGCAAATGTGGACAGATGTGGACCAGAGATTTACTAAGACATCAAAATGAGGGTATTTTGTACAGTAAGTCACGTGACTCAGTTGGAGCCTTTCAGAGAGGCAGGGCTCCGTCTCAAGGACAATGCAGACCACAGACTGTTGCAAGCTGTAATGAGACAAAATTTCCGCCAGGCAGGACTCAAGAGAATAGGCGGAGGTTAGAACAGGCGTGGTGGCCAAAAAAGCTGATGCCGTTGGCTGAGGCTCAGTTAGAGGCTACTATTTAATGCAGTATTCTATGATAAATAAAAAAAATGGAGGACAAATAGGCTACCCAGCTTCCTAGATAGGTTTTTCTTTTTCTTTTTGGGGGGGGGAGAGGGGGAGGCTTGTTTTTGTTTTTAGCAACTTAAAAAGAGCTAAGACCTTTTAGAGATCATTAAAAAGAAAAGGATTTTGTTTTGCAGATGAGAAAACCAACCCGGAGGAGGTCTAAGAAAGCCCCAGGTCTCTGGCTGAGTGGAGAAGGAAGGGGTCAGAGAGCATCACTGCTATTCAGCCCACTTACAAGAGCACTGCTGTCCCAGGCCAGTAAGCAACATTTCCCTTTACCAACACACAGCCTGTCTTTCTTTCTCTTTTGGCATCAATTAAGTAAATTTTGAACACTTACGTTATGCCAGAGAAATGAAGTAACGGCTGGGGTTACAACAATAATTAACAAAAACTTTGCACAGTGAGAAGAAATTGACTTAAAATCTCAGCAATGATAAAACAAAACCCCCACAAAACACACCAACTTACATTTTTAAAGTTTCATGATTCTACACTCCATAAATTCATGCATTTCTACGTGAATATGCACACAAATGTGAAAAAGTATGTGTGTATGTTGTTGTTGTGTACCACTGAGTCAGAATTGACCCCCAGCTGACCCTCCAGTGGGTGTTCAGAGGTGGTGAATCACAAGAAAGATTGCCCATCCCTCTCTCATGGAGTGGCTGGTGTATTCCGAATGTCTTTGCAGCGCAGCTTCTTAACAGTAGGGTACCCAGATTAAGGACCTCACAGCTTACAAGGATGGCCACTAGTAGTTCTGTGTCAAAGATCCCAGCCCTGCCTAGAGAACTGGTCTGGCCTGAAGCAGAAACACAAGTTACCATGGTATATGATGGTTCACTGGTATATTCTGTGATTACAGTCACCAGCACTAGAAAAGATCTGCTTTTTGCTTTAACAAAGGGCAAAGGGAACTGAAGCTAAAAAAGAGGCAAATAAATCTGAACTTTCAAATTGTGATTAAAATAAAAGTATACTTGCTTTCCCTTTAAACATTTATACATATTAGATGATAAGGCTTCAACTCATATACCCTGGGTATATTGATATAAGTGAGGCTAATCCTTGGAGAGGGACATCACTCTTGGAAAGGTGGAGGGGCAGTTTATAGGAGGAAGACTCTCAACCAGATGGATTGACACAGTGTCTGCTGCAATGCGCTCAAGTATGTTAGAAGAGAGTGTGAGGCTGGCACAGGATAGGACAGGGTTCAGATAATGTTGTTCACAGGGTATGAATGAGTCATAGTCAACTCGACAGCATCTAACAAGAATACCACCACATATTGGTTTTATAATATCTGTTACAATACCCACAATATAACTTCACTCTTTCCACTTTCCCCCCAAGCTTCTCATTATCATTACTTCTTCCATCCTACCCCTTTTCTAACATTTTCCTTGGGCAAATGGCACCATCTGGTGCTCCTCTGGTGCTGCTGTTTGTATTACAGATGAACTATGGGAGTAAGTTTTGTTCCAAGTTTGAAGGTGATAACCTCTGAAGTTCTACCCATCTCTATCAGACCAGTAAGCTTGGCCATCTTTAGGTTTTTGTGTTTTTCTCCAAATTTTCCCTTCTCCACCCAGATTTTCTACTGTATCCCTCTTTGAGTGATCAGCAGGCATAGCAGGGCACCATCTAGTTCTTCTGGTCTCCAAGGTCATGGAAGCGGAGTTTCCCATGATCCTTTGCTCTATGCATCTTTGCTCCCATCCTTGTTTCAGACATAGAGAAACCAATATCAAAACTTGCATTATTTTTACTTCCATTTCCTAAAAAGTTACTCATACTAATTATAGTGCACCACCAATCTAATATGGATAAAAGAATATAAGAAATGACTGCTAGAAAGAACCAATAGTTTTCAATCTAGCATTGATTTTTTAATTTGCAATTAAGAATGCCATTTAATTCACAGCATGAACTGACATAGGCCACTTTAGAATTCCAGGAAATGCCTTCCTTTTTTGTTAAATATAAGTAATTTTTGGCAATTACAGGTAGATGAGAGCATCTCAGTCTAAGTTATGCCAAGATAAATAAGTAGGCACAAAACCAAAAACCCCATCCTTTTCTTGGAACAATTCTCTCATTCTCAAGCATTTGGATGGGTTTAAACCAAAGTTTTTTTGGGGGAGATGTGGCATTCTTAGGGTCATACAAGCAAGTCTCAATTTTATCTCACATAATTTGGGTAAGCTGGCAAGAGGGGCCAGTCTTGGTTCTTTCGGGAGTTCATGGGACACTCAGTACTTTTCACCAACACAACAGTCCACAGGTACTGAGTCTTCTGCCATCCTTATTCATTGTTCAAACTTAAAATGCACTGAAAATAGCATAGTTTAGATCAGGTGCACCTTGTCTTTAGACTGATATCCTTGCTCTTTAGCACTTTGGAGAGGTCTCTGACAGAAGATTTTTCCAATGCAGCACGTCTTTTGATTTCTTGACTGCTGCTATCTTGGGTGTTGCCTGTGAACTCAAGCAAATCATTGATAACATCAATCTTTCTCCATCTATTATGATGTTGTCTATTGGTCCAGTGGTGAGGATTTTTATTTTCCAGATGCTGAGATAAAATCCATGTTGAAGTCTGTAGTCTCTAATCTTCTGCAGCAAGTGTTTAAAGTCCTCTTAGTTTTCAGCAAAGTTATGTCATCTGGATAACACAAATTGTTTTCAAATCTTCCTCCAACCCTAATGTCACATTCTTCTTCATATAGTCCAGTTTCTCAAATGATATGTTCAGTATACAAGGTAAATCAATATGGAGAAAGGACACAATCCTGACACACAAGATTCCTGATTTTAAAACATGCAGTTTTCCCTTGTTCTTTTCAGACAAAAGCCTCTTATTTTTAGGAATAGATTTTACATGAGAATTTACATTCAATGTTCTAGGGATTCCCATTCTTCTCAATGTTACCCATAATTTGTTATGATCTACACAATTAAATATTTTAACAATATAAAAAACATAATTAAAAATGAGGTGTTTAAAAGAACTATGGTATTTTCCAAAGCTTTGCATTACAAATTATTTTGCTAACACAGGAAAATGACTATTTTTTATACTTTATCCCATAATGCTCAACCATAACCATAATCATTTATTTCTGTTTTATAGATGAGAAGGCTTCAGTTCAATGAGTTCAGTGACCTGACTCAAAATACAGCACTAACCAGGGCAGAGAAGGAAAGGCCAGACCTGTCTAGTACAAATCTTCATCTCTTTTTTTAAGCCTGTTCCCATATACAGGCCTTTTGGGCAAATCAAATTACTGAACTATGTAATTCAAAATGGCAAAATCACAAAAACATGTCATGTGTTCTATTTCATACCTTTAATCCTCTGTAACTTCCTGGGCTTGTTGGAGAGGAACTGGAGGATTTCGTGGACTTGGGTGTGGAAAGCTGGCTGCTGGGAGTTCCATTAACTGACCATGAGACAACAGACAGGATAGAGGTCATTAAAACACAGCAAGTCAGGCTGTATAAAAATGCATGCAGGTACAGTGCAGCTCCAATGACACTGAGATAATGTCAAAGCTCAAAGCAGATGACAAAAATCAGCAAAAAAGGAAAAAATATTTTACTGCACCACAGACATAAAAAAAAATAATACAAATAAGGAGTGAAACTACAATTATTTTCAATAATCGTTTTCTGACAACAATATAAACATTATGGAATTAAGAGATGTGAACAAAAAGCCTGCCAGCATACCCTGCCTGCCAGTAAGGGTAGAAAAATTGGTGGCTGTTACATTTTTAATATTTACTAAAAAAGTTGTTCCATAATTTTTAGTATCCATCATCTTGATATATATACCAACCTGAATAATCAAGCTCTTAATACTTTTCCAAATCAATTCCACCATCCTCCAAACATATTTTCTAAGTACAGTATAAACCGATCTGTGGCCATCAACCTGATTCTGACTCCAAGTGACCCTTTGGACTGTGCAGAACTACCGCACAGGGTATGCAGAGGCTGTGAATCTTTCAGGAAGCAGACCACCAAATCATGCTTTCAGAGGGATGGGGGGCTGAAAATGTCCAACTTTCGGTAAGCATCCATCCCAATGCTTGACCCACTGAACCATCAACTCTCTAGTATTTTTATCTAGACTATTTCTTTCTAATTTCTTCCATTTTCTTTTCTTGATAGCTTCATTCTCTGTCACTTAGTAGAGCTTGGTAGATAGCCATAAAAGTTATATAAAGCTCCATGCATTTACTAAATGTAAACCCATTTAGATCCCATACAAGGAAAAGTATGACTGCTACTGTCTGCTAGGGAAGGTAAATTTGCAGATTCGATATAGTACAGAATGCTGGAAGAGAACTGATGGTAGGAATTCACAGAAAGCAAAATTATCTACCAGTGGCTCAGTGGTAGAAAGCTGGGTAGTCCCTCTTCATATGTGATTTATTGCCTCTGGGAAAAAAATCCACTGGAGAGTCAGCTAATGAGTCTGAACTGATTTGATAGTTATGTGTTTGAGAATTTTGAATATTATAGACAATAAAACATGCCATGAGCTGTAATTAAATCATGTTCTTTTTTTTTTTTTTAAATCTGCATGTTGTTGTTAGAGGCTGTTATCAACCATTACCCACAGGTACCCTAAGAGCAACAGATCTGACCTTTGCCCTGTCCTGAACCATCACAGCGTCTCAGATAAGCTTGAGCCCATTGTTACAGTCACCATGTCGGTCCATCCTGTTGAGGGTCTTCCTCTCTTTCTCTGACCCTCCACCTTTCCCAGTGTGATGTCCTTTTCCAAGGACTGGCCCCTCCTGACCACATGCCTGAAGTATGTGAGACAAGCTGGATGCGCCTTGGCTCTAAGAGGCACATGGGTTGCACTTCCTTCAAGATATACTTGTTCTGCATAAGCAACCACCTGGGTCACCAGTCCCTAATCAACAGACACCCTAAGCTTTCACTGGTCTTCAGACACCATAGTGATATCCAAGGATCCCTTGGAATGGTGATCAAAAAGGAAGTATGTGGGGGAACCCCAGTTTCTGCAGATGATTTCTGGAGCTGACCAACCCCATTTAGTCAGTTTAGACTCCCAGGAGTACACATGTGACAAGGCAATGCTGTGTCCCTCAGGGTTTCTAAAGCCCAATTTTTCAGACTTCCATCGCCAGGCTCTTCTTCCAAGGAGCCTCTGGGTAGACTCCCACTTGGAAACTTTCCATTAGCAGCAGAGCACATTTACTACCCCTGTTTCAACAGAATTTCTTAAGTTGATTCTAAGAATTCAATAAGTACATGGTTTATATTTCCACCAGAATAGCACTCATCCTAAAAATCACAGGTTAAATCACAGGTAGACTTTAACATTTTTGATAATTTAGAAGGCGTGTTGTGGGGGCAGGGGCATGGACTGTTAGGAGAACAAACAGGTTCATCCTAAAGAGGTTCATCCTGGAGGCTGCTCCTTGGAGACAAGGATTTTGAAGGTCCATCAGACATACTTTGGGCATGTTACATGGAGGGACCAGTCCTTGGAGAGGGGCATCATGCTTGGGAGGGTGGAGGGACAGAGCAGGAGAGGAAGACCCTGGATGAGATGGATTAATTCAGTGACTGGGGTAATGGGGGTAGGGGTGTCAGAGACAGTAAGATTAGCACAGAATAGAGCAGGGTTCAGAGCTGTTGTACATAGGGTCACTATGAGTTGCAAGTGACTTGATGGCACATAACAACAACAATGGGTAGTCTAATGAGGTGAACAGGATGTAACAGGCAGGCCAGGCTGTCTTCTTCTTCCTCAAACTCCCATGGCCGCCATCGCCCCTGCCTGAGGTGTGTAAACATCTACTGGTATGTAAGCATTGCCCTCACTTCATCGCTACCTGGGGATTTCTCTCCTAAAGGAAGGACTTGCCACCCGCCTTTCAATTTATAGTAAGAATTTCAGCATTTGGTTTTCTTTGCTCTGAATACTTTTTCTCTTGGTACACTATGAATATTTCACAAGTTAGAAATTGAAAGTGAAGAATTTTTGACAAAATATGGCAGATATTTACCCATTTATCTTATCCAGATTCATTTATATGCACTTCTAACTACTACTGAACTTTTCTGATAAACTGGAGGGGATGTGTGTATGTGTGTGTGTGTGCGCGCGTGTGTGTGTGTGTGTGTATGTGTGTGATATTAACATAACCAGAAGACATCACTCACAGCAGCACTTTTGTTTAAAAAGTCCAAAAGTGCAGTAAAGTAATTTACACAGTTGACTAGTTTGCTAGAAAGCTTTATGAAATTTTCTAAATTGCTAACAAATACTGTGATCAAAGTAGCTTGTAAAAACAATTCAACTCAACTCATTGCCATTGTGTCAGAACTGACTCACAGCTGACCCGTCAGTGGGTTTCAGAGGTGGCAAATCACACATCTTTCTCTCCAGGAGCCGGAGAAACATGGCCATTAGGCTAACAGTGCAACTGCCTGTGGACTAGGTTCACCAGAGCTCCTGTTTCTGGGTACTGTGGCTTTTAATAGTATAAATTTACTGTTGATGGGGAGTGAGGAATGAATACTATAGAAAAAAATGCAGATTTCTTCACAATCACAAGTCTCAGCAATTTACTCTGGTCTTCTGTTTTCTGTAACTGAACTAGGCTTTAGCATTACTCCCTTATAAAGTCTACAGTTTGTCCTCTAAAATGTGATTTTCATGCAGAAGTGTGAAGTCTGTACTCCTATAGTCTGTTAAACCTAAATCTATAGTTGACCTCAATTGAAAATTGAGGTGCTAGGATATTACAATTTTTCCTAATCAGTTTCTAAGCACTCTAAATTCAAGTTGAAAAGATCTGTTTAAAGAGTTATTGCGTTTACTTTGGGGCAGTTGATCCACAAAACAAATATGGCTGTGACACATGTTTTTAGTTCAGTATGTTAGTTTTACTCAGGGGCCAAAATTGGATCCCTCATAACGCCACATTTTTGAAGAATTCTTCTCACTTTTACTTAACCTTACTGATGTACTGTAATGTAGGCACCTGTACATCTAATACCTAAAACAAAAGCTAGGAACCTTAAAGCTCTCCCTCTACCATATGGTAAGCCTATTATTAGACAGATTCCATATTACACGAGCTTTCCCATGTTCTGCAGAGAGCACACACAGCCCACTTTGAAAAGCGCACCAACAGTTGAGACGGTGCCGCTGAAGTTCTAAGGACCTATGGGTTTCAGTTGAGTGGCCTCACCAAGTCCCTCCCAGTGACCACACTCAGCATCGAGCTGCTGTGCAGACACTAAATGTCAGTGTTCTATTGGGCTGTATGTGTTGTCTGGGAGATTGGTAGGTTTTTGGGGGAGTCTGAGAACGCATAATTTCCTCCTAGATATTAATGGTAGGAGGCACTGGTGGCAAAGTTCACAGACAGTTGTGCAATGAACACAAAGACTTCACTTCCCTCGAAGTTCATATCCACCGGCTGCTAAACCCTGTGTGATTTACAGCCTCAGAAACTCGATGGAAGGGTCAGCTATGAGTCAGCTCTCATTTGTCAACAATGAGTCTGAGTTTCTGAGTAATACTAATGGTAACTGCTTATACTGTTGCAGCTTATGAAACATTTCATAAGAACACTGTATTTTCACAAAGCAGGAAGACCAATACCCACTCTGTCAATATTTTGAGAGCATTCACCTATAATCTTATAACAAGAATTATTTTAGAACTAGAAAAACTTCAGTGCTGCCTTCTACTGTGTATAATAAATACTTTATAATCCTACTTATGAGTACAATATTATAAAAAAGCCTTTAATCCTAAGATTGTTAACGATTTCTAAGCACTTAACTTCAGCGGGGGCACGTGGATGGTTAAAGAATACAGTCACTTCTAGGTAGTATTTCCTAGTAGAAATTTAAAGGTCTGTGTTTGTTACAGTATCCTCCACCCCCAGGAGCAGAATACCGGACAAAATGAACCAAAGAGAAAGCCTGTGTGTGATGTGGCTCCTCATTGCTTTGTTCTGATTGCACGCAGCAGGCCCTCGGCAGTCTGATGATGCGTCCTCTGACAAAGGCAGCTGGGGCGTCCTATGCATTGTGAAGCATTTCATACTGCACAGATGCACACTGGGACAAGCCACAGACACTCATGGAAATGGAGCCAAAAGGAAACAGAAATATGGCAGAAGACAAAAACAAAGCCCCAGCAGAGCAAGAATGCCATAATAAGCATGGCTCACCTGGGGATTTGGCTGTAGAATAGGCACTGGAGGAGTGGCCACCCCTCTTTACTGTCCACATTCAGTATAAACACAGGAGGAGGAGACAGGAAGTTGATTAGTCAACAAGTCTAAACGTGTATACAAAGAAGGGTAAAACAACCTGCCCTAAATAAAGAGGGGTGGGCTAAAGGAAAAGCAGGGGGATGTGGATTGCCCAGTAAGGCAAAGGAACTTATAACTCTGACGTGTCAAACAGTTGCCATTGATACCATTATCAAATAACTGTAAAGTTTTTCTGATGCAAAAGTATTCCTTTTCTCCCTCCATAATTCTTTCCTTAATGGGAAATGACAGTAGCAAAATGATCCTTGATTACTACAAGCAGATCCTATAGAATCACTATATCAAGAGCCCTGTGAATGCTTTCAATTTCAAAAATGCCAAGAAAAGTAAACATTATGATAAATCTATCAACTTAGGACCTGAAAGAAATAGAAGTATAAGTAAATATAAGTAAATCTGATGTCTAAGTAAGTAAAGCAGTATTACCCAACAAGAATAACCATTAATATCTCATAGTTTGATGAAGGAAAATCCCAAGTCAAGTCAATACATTTCTTTATAGTAGGGGGGAGGTCTATGTGTAATTTAAATAAAGGTAGTTAAGGAGAATAAATATGCCCAATCTTATCTTAGCATGTAACTAAAAATGAAGTACACAGGGGTCAAAATGGGAAAGGTTTTTACATAAAGAGCAAGAGACCGTGGAGTAATACTGTTGTTCATGACAAAAAGGTGTCAGATCCAAAGCAAACACATCTCTCAGGAGGTTTCTTTATAGCTGAGTAACAGTCTTAACTTTTTGGTGAGGGAAAATCTACACTATCCATATTCTGCTTTGGAACCCAGGCCCAGAAGCCAGACAATGAGGACCAGCTCCTAATAATTAAAGGACATCTTGTCTGAGAACGACTTGCTTCCCTCATGCTCAATCATCCCTTTCCCATTTACTACCTGAAGCTGGTGATTTGCTGCGTCGAGAAGGCCCAGGACTTTTGGATCCAGAATATTTAACAGCTGAAGAACGTGAATAAGATGACTTCAAGACTCGGCATTCTAGAAAGGGAAAAAAGGGGACTCAATAAAACTAATCAAAGGTACACATCACATGACAGCACTTCCTTACCTAGAAATAGAAATTCTTTTATGTCTACTACACATCTTTAGTATACAAAGCAAAAAATCCCAAAAGTTTACACCAGAAGGTACCTTTAATTAGGCTACATATCTTTGAACATCATGTTATTTATTCCAGAGAAAGAGTTCTTATTGGTGCACAGAAATCTCAATGTTCTAAGTCTGGAGACTAAGCTGCACCTGACCATTTCATGGTCTTTGCAATCCCTTGCTCTGCATCAGAGAGCTGGACAATGACTAGGGATGATAGAGGGAGAATTGATGCCTTCCCTCGATCTGTGGTGTTTGAGAAGAGTATTGAATGTACCACAAACTGCTAAAAGAACAAACAAGTTTGTCCTGGATGAAGCCAGATTGCTCCTTGGAGGCAAGGATTCTGAAGCTTCGTCTGACATACTTTGGACATGTTGCAAAGAGGGACCAGTCATTGCAGAGGGACATCATGCTTGGGAGGGTGGAGGGACAGCACAGGAGAGGAAGACCCTCATTGAGATGGATCGATTCAGTGACTGGGGTAATGGGGGTAGTAGGTGTGTCAAAGACAGTGAGATTGGCACAGGATAGAGCAAGATTTATGGCTGTTGTACATAGGGTTAAGTCGCAGGCGACTCAACACCTAACAACAACAATACACACATGTAGAGCCCAATCTAAACATGCGCAACTATTTCCCCCCCCCAAATCAATAGCATTCACAGACAAAGACTACAATTTTTATCTTCTTTTGAAGGATAGGGAGCTCTGGTGGTGTAGTCAGCACCGGGTTTGGCTGCTAACCCTTTTGAATGCACCAGAGGCTCCATCAGAGCAAGACGGGCCACCTCCTCCCAGGTGTTCAGCAGCCTCCGAAAACCTACTGGAGGATCACTTCCAAGTTGGTTCCAATTCATCAGCAATGAGTGTTTTTTTCTGTATTTTGAAGGGCCAAGTGTCTCCTCTAATTTATGAGCCTCCTCCTATCTTATTTCCCATTTTTCCAATGTACAGGTTATCATGAATGAGCGAATGGGCTTTTAAATGTAATTTTGACCCTTTTCTTAAATTACCCAATAAAAGAATTTTTTAAAACATGCCTCATGCACACTGCAGTCAAATCACTTTTGACTAATGGTGACCTGCCATTAAATTTCCAAGGCTACAAATAGAAAGGGGAAGAGACTGCTTATATTTCTCCTGGCAGCTGCTGATGGATTCCAACCACCACTCTTAATCCAAATAACTAAAGACATGTACACTAGAGCCATGCAGATTTTAGATGAAACAAGGATGTATCATTTGCTGACTGGAGGCCCTTGATTAGCATGTGTCAATTTTTGCTTTTTTTCTCTATGAAAAGGAGATAAGATTAGAAACTGTTTTACAGGGTTATTATAAGGATTAAATTAAATAGCATATTGTCTGTAATTTACTTTAGGAGACTTAGATTTATGCAGGGAGACAATTTATTCCAGCAGGAAAAAAAAATATGAGTTGGTTAGCTTTAATCTATAACCCAGGGGCAGTTAATTAACATGTGAAGTATACTAATCAGTAACACACACTCCAGAGGAGGCTGTTAGCATTTGAAAGACTCTAATCAAACCTCACACAGAAGCAGCAGAGTGGGCTTAGTTCATTAGCATTAAGGGTGTTAGCAAGTATTTCATTGTTGAAGGAAATCATGTGTGATTAGAAACATCTTAAAGGTACTGTCATTCTTTTATGAACAAAGTATGTAGACATCACATCTTAAAGGAAGATTGTGTTTATAAAGGATAACTGTTGTTAGGTGCTATGCGTTGACCTCATGTGACAGGGTAGAGCAGCCCCATATGGTTTTCCTAACTGAATGTTGACATAAACAAACTGTCAAGTCTTCTTTCTCTCATGGAGGTTTATTGTTCTTTGATTGGCACTGGATGGACTACAACTCAAAGCAACTCTCTAAACAACAGCCTTGAGCTTTGCCCTATCTATCCTGTGCCATCCACATCATCTCTGATATAGTTAAATCCATTATTATAGTCACTGTGTCAATCCATCTCCTTGAAGGTCTTCCTCTCTTTTCACTGAACTTCCCCCTTTCCAAACAGGATTTGCTTTTCAAAGGACGGGACTCTACTAATAACATGCTTAAAATAAGTGAAATGAAGCTTCGCCATCTTTGTCTCCAAGAAGCAAGCACTCTTGCTCACCTTCTTGAAGACATAACTGTTCTTTTCCAGTCCGTGGGATATTTAGAACTCTTTTCAAACATCACAACTCATCTTTTGCCATTCCTAGTCAATGTTCAAACTTCTGACCTTTCCATTACAAATATAGTGCCTGACTATTGTACCACCAGGGATTAGATTACAGTTATTATTGTTAGGTGCCATATACAACTTATGGAGACCCCATGAAAATCAGAGTTCATCAAATGCTTTGTATGCATCTGAAAGCTGGATACTAATAAGGATGATAGAAGAAAAATTAATACCTTAGAGTTTTGGTGTTGGAGAAGAGCACTGTATTTATCATGGACTGCAAAAATGAACAAATAAATATGTCTTGAAGGAAATGCAACTAGGATGTTCCCTGGGCAAGGACAGTGACATTTCATCTCAGTTACTTTGGGCCTATTTTCAGAAGAAAATGTCTTTCTTCTTGGAGAAAGACATGTTACAGTGAAAAGCAGAAAGTCAGTGAAAGAAAGGATTATCATCAACAAGATAGAATGACACAGTGAGCATGGCAGAGATCATGAAGATGGCACTGGACAGGCCAAGGTTCAGATCTGCTGTTCATAGGGCCGTTTTGAATAATTCCCGACTTAATGGTGTCTAACAACAATGAACATCAGAACAAAGCCTAACCCTATCTATGCCCAAGTCCATTTCTTTTTACTGTCAATATTCCAATCCATCTCATTGAGGGCCATAGTCTTTTCGGTCACTTGCTATACATCTGGGAGCTGGACAATGAATAAGGATGAAACAAGAAGAAGCAATGTTTTTGAGCTGTTGTGTTGGAGAAAAGTATTGAATATCCCATGAACTGCCCAAAGAACAAATAGGTAAGTTGTTGAGAAGTTGGAGCCAGAAAGTGCTCCTTGGAGGCAAGGATATTTAAACTTCTATTCACAAACTTTAGGCATGTAGCTAGAAGTGGAAATTCATTAGAGAGGGACATCATGCTTGGGAAAGTGGAAGAACAGTGAAGGAGAGGAAGACCTTCAACCAGCTGGACTGACACAACGACTGTGGCAATGGATCTAAGCGTGTCAGTGATTGTGAGGATGGCACAGAATAGGACAGGGTTCAGTTCTGCTGTTCATAGGGTTGCTGTGGATCATACTCTACTTGATGGCGTCTAACAACAACACTGAGGGGTTCACTTGCTTTCCCTGATCCTCTACTTTGCCCAGCATAATATCCTTTCCCCAGTACCAGAACCTCCTGACAACATGTCCAACGCATGAGACAAAGTTTCACCATCCTTGCTTCTAAGGAACATTCTAGTTGCACTTTCTCCAAGATAAATTTATTTGTCCTTTTGGCAGACCATGGGATATCCAATACTCTTCATCAATACCTAATTCAAAGGCATCAATTCTTCAGTTTTCTTTATTTAGAGTTTGTTTCACTAAATCCTATGGATACACTATTCTGCCTGTGCTGCTTCTTGTTGTTTTTAGGTGCTGTTGAGTCAAGCATGAATCACAGTGACCCTATGAACAAAAGATCTGAATTCAGTTCCATCCTCACACTTGCTGACACATCAGAGCACATTGTAGCAGTCACCATGTCAATCCACCTGGTTGAGGGTCTTCCTCTCCTTCGCCAACCCTCCACCCTTCCCAGCATTATGTCCTTCTCCAAGGAATAGCACCTCCTAGCAAAATGCCCAAAGTATGTGAGGTGAAGCCTCATCATTTTTGCCTCCAAAGAGCACTCTAATTGCACCCTCACCAAGACATAGCTGTTTGTTCTCTTGGGCATCCATGGGATGTTCAATGCACTTCTCCACAGCTCAAAGGTGTCAATGATTTCTCTGTCATCCTTATTCATTGTCAAGCTCTCAGACACATAGCTAGTAATGGGAAAGACTATGGCCTGAATCAGACATGCCAGAGTCTTCAAATTGACATGACTACTCCTCAATAATTTGGAGAGGTTCCTAACTGCAAATTTTCCCAGTTTTTCTAAGTGGTATAGCACTTGTTTGTCTGTTTGCTGTACTGAGATAACTTGAGGTTGTAGTGATACTGAAATCTATGTCACTGATGTGTCAAATGCCATAAGGGTTTCCCATCATGGGCAGGTTTTGCTGGGGCTCCCTGATTAAGACAGACTAGGAAGCAGGATGGTTCATCTACTTCCTAAATAACAGCCCTTTGAAAAACCTATGAACACTAAAGGAAGAGGATAGTGATAGTAGTGTAATGGTAGATCCCAGACTGGGAGACAGTTGAAATGAAGAAAATCAAACAACGTTTCACAATCGGAACATGGCATGTAGCTGCCTGTACTTACCTCCCCTCTTTTAAAAAAGCTTTTTAAAAATGTTTCCTTTTAACTTACTTACTTGACTGAAACTTTACAAATAACAATAGGTTTAATTTCATTCTCTATATTTTTAATTTTAATAACATTAATTACAATTAATTAACATAACCAATTGCAATGTCTGATCAACTTCTTATTGTATACTTGTTTTTCTCTTCACCCAACTTAGCTACTTAGTACATTTTATTCCTCTCTCTCTCTCTCCTTCCCCATTCCCTGGTAATCATTAATGGGTTTTGAAAGGATGCTGTCAGAAGTCTTAAATAAATGATGGACAGTTGGAATTGTACGACTTAAAAAAGTATACTTTTAAAAAACCTTGTTTGTCAATAATTGTGCCTAAGTCTGAGACTTGTTTTCATTGTAAAATGTACCACTGGATGGTGGTGACAG